TCTGGCTGTGTGATGTTGATGGGCTTCACGTCTTGTCGAAGACCGCCTTGCAGTAGTTCAGGAACGTATTCTGCACCCTCGCAGTGGTCCAGAACGCGCTCGGAGTGTGTCTGGCCTGTGAGGCTATCGCCCTTGCCACCAGTGGCTAGACGATCAACGCGGATGATCTTCCTGGTTTGTGCATCCATGACAGGAATCAGCGGTAAGGGGTAGGCGTAGAAGTTTGAGTCTGCGTTTCCGTTCCTCATGTCCTGGGCGAAGCATAGGCCTTGGAAGTATCTTCGGTTCTCAGCACCAATGTCGAGACCACCGTATGGCCTATGATTGTTAGTAACGTGGTAAACTGAAGTCGACATGGGTACCTACCAAGGCTCAACGACCAACTCAAACCCATCAGGCAGCTTGATCTCAGCCATAGCTTCCTTGAACATATCACTCTCCTCACACGCTTTAACAAGGTGTTGGAACTCCCACAACGTCAACGCAGCCTGCTTCTCCTTTCCCACAATCTCGTGCCGGACTCTCTTCCTTTGCTCCACATCAACAACAGACTCGTGGTACTCTGGTATCTTGTCTGAGCCGATGACGTCGTACTGGCACTTTGCCAACCGCGGTGGCCGCTTCGAAGCTGGTGACTGTCCTGGCTTTGCTGCATGTTCGAGCTCAAGGTACTGTTTCATGAGCTCCTTTGCTGGTTCTTGGAGGAAGATCTCGCGAAAGTCGACAACGCAGTCTTTGTGGAGGGAGAGGACGGTGTCACGCGCAACGCGTGTCTCCTCTATGTTGAGGATGCTGAAGGGATGAGGTGCCATGGTGTAGTGGATGCTTGAAGGAAGGAAGGCGGTATGATGTTGTCTTCACCCGGAGCTGGTGTGGCGTAGATGGAGTGGAAGAGAAGTCGTCCAGTCTGGAGGGACATGATCCAATTTATCTACAGACGTACACATTCTGCCGAGCCCGTATCTCTAAGCGTAGAAGCGGGGATATGAGATGATAGACCATGGTGATACGTTCAAACACGCGAAGCAGTACCGCCGTCATGCTCTCTGGCGGAACGTCGCATGTACCTTCCAACTTCGGTTAGCGTGGGATGTTGATGACCATGTGCTGCACGCTCTGTCGAGCGACACACAGATACAGAAGCGTTATCTATCCCAGCCCCTGCTACTCCAGGATATGTACCAGGAACACAGTGCTACTGTGCTGTTCTTCGCGGAATGTCGCGTGTGAAGAAGTCGAAACCTCCACCGGAATTACCTCCGCTGTGGGTCGGATTACTCCAGGACTGGTCTGGCTTGGGCTACCACAGGACGGAACATTGCGCAGCAGCGATAAAGGCACTGGGTCTGGGTATGTCGGTGGTCGTGTTATGTAAGTCGACGATCTGGAGCAGGCTGGGGAAACGGATACCAAGCTTTGTTCCGCGATGTAGTGCGAGATCTATGCACTGCCCACCTAGGTAGGTACAACAACAACACACCGGCTTGGCGCGATAGCGAGAAGACTACGATGTAATCTACTGCGTCGCTAATCTTCCGTGCACGATTGCCGCGATAATTCATATTGCCGAATAGTCTACCGATTCGATTGCTACCAAGGTATGAATCAACGGAAGTCGCGCGACATCAGGCAGAATGCGTAGCCATGCAGTCAGAATTCCCTGTCCAGTGTTACAGCAACAGTGACAATGTTTGTAAGACAAGCCGGTCTCTATCTTCAAGAGTGTGTTTGCTATATGAATCAATGTTCAGTAGCAAAGTGTTAGGTAGAGATCTCTACGGATTGATTGTGAGTACGTGATTAAGAGGGCGAACACGCCATCGCCTAGAAGCCGTTAGTGGAGACCGATATCGTTGGTGGATCAATCATCCTCGACTCGTGCATCAAGCTATCCCGCACCCAAATTATCGATATGTAGCCCGTTGAACAGCTCTCGCTGTCTTTTCAATCACGTCGCGTGGGATATAAACGATCAATTTTGACGTTTTTCCACCAAATCATCCATCTCATTGATTCACGCATCGGTGGTTTAGTGGTAAAATTAGCCGTTGCCATCCTTCACAGGACAGTTTCGGCTAGCCCCGGGTTCGATTCCCGGCCGATGCATTGTACACCATTCTTTTTGCCATCCTACACGTCGTAGCAACGTTGTGGTGGGTAGAGTATGTTTTTGAGCCGGTGGTTGAGGAGTGACCGCCGCGTGGCCATAAGCGAGGCTAGCAGCGGGATGCGAAGCGTGGCAGACAAGGTGGCAGGAACTTGAAGTCTGCGAGACTGGAGGAAGTCTTTTTGCAGTTGCATCTTTATCCTACTGCATTCGCCTTTCCATACTATACATTAAGTCGCTATCCCTTCTTTACCACGTATTGCGCTCCGGACAACTACATAAACTTGCCCTTGCATCGCACTTGTATTACCAACATCCCTTTAAACCACACTCAATCCCTCGCATTCCCCGACATGGTCGCAGCGACCGCACCTCCAAAGACTGCACCCAGCCCAATTCTCCTGTTCTCCCTTTGCCCACTAACCCGCCACCGATGACTAGCCTTCGGCACCACCACCCTCTCCGGCTCCGCAAGTCCCATTTGCCCTGGCGGCGCATTCCTGAGTTGCCCATACTGCACTCTCCTGTCTCCAACATCCTCAAGCACCTGGTCGAAGTCGCCGTGATACGCTTTTATCTTGTCAGGCGCGATGATGGGCGCACCGAATGCTTGTGAGATCTCTAGTGGACCTAGAGTGACTTTGCGACCGAGTTGCCAGAAACCCCAGTAGACGGGTAGAACGAGTAGGACGGTTATGAAGGTTGCTGCGAGGGCGCCGTAGACGTAGGCGGAGGAGGTGAGGTATTCTTCTACGATGCCGGTGATTGATGTGGTGATGTTTTGGCTGGCCATGCCGAGGGCTTTGCGTTTGTTTCTATCCGTTGTAGGCGCACCTTTGATGTACAGAGCGGTTACGAAACTCAGTGTGTTAAGCTTGCGCAGCATCTCAATGGTAGGGTCATCCCGACCAGGCTTGTTGATGTTGAACCAGCAGCCGTCCTTCATTACCTCATCGTTGTCTGAGTAGAATGTAGTCTGCGTGGAAGCACCTCGAGAACTGAGATCCCAGCCATTGTCATAAGTGAGGTTCACCGAGGACCCATAGAGGTTATTCATGATATAAGTCAGACTCCCGACAGTGGAAGAGTCGTTGATCCTTTCGTCGAGACTGACGGTCTTCAAAACTTTGAGTCCATCAATTTGTCTGATCCCATTGAGATTAGCTCCGATGGGCCGTGGACCATCGGTGTTGAAGAACTTGATATGTGTGACGATGTTCTTGCCATCAAGTTCTTCTTTGCTTGGCACCATGACAGTAACTGGATACTGAACGACTGCGGGCATGATCTCGCACGTGCGAGTAGTCTTACGACCCGGGCATGAGTCGTCTCCTCCGATTCGGCTATCAACATATAACATCTCGAGATTGATGCTGGCGTATGATTTCGTTTCGGTTGCCCATTGTGGGTCGAAATTGACATGCCATAGCGGATAGGAACCCGCTTCTTCTAATCCATAGTCAACCTGTTGGTAATCGCTTGTGCAATTGAACGCAAACCCTAGACCTTCGACAGCACCACTGCATTCCTGGCGATATGGACATTCGAAGAAAGACGCAGTATCGTTAAGACCGTCATGCACCTTCCCATTGGCGAGCTTGCCGTTGTACGCATCCAGAACGCTGGCCCATGAAGCAAGATTCAGTCTGGTGGTGCCATCTCGTGCGGGAAGACCTCCTAATCTATTCGGCCAGTCTTTCTCGATCCATGCAGTCATGGTGGAATTGGCGTACTCCTTTTGCTGAGTTACGATGGTCCTCGTCGATTTTTGAAATAGGGTGCTGTCCACGACAGCAAACTTCGTCATAAGTGCGGCGAGAGCGACCAGATTGAAGTACCTGCCGGAGGTGACAATTGCGTAGAAGCTGTAAGAATATGCATGGTTGTTATGCAGCACGCGGAGAGAGCTACCGCGCAAGGCTGTTCTCCACCATGCGATAGCGAGTCCATGGCTGACCAAAGTGATCAACCCCAGATTCTGGATCTGGTTCGCGATATTCAGAAGGACGTTGGGCTGAGCCGGGAAACTGTTTCATTAGTTCCAACCTGACTGAAACTGTGTCTGCTAGTCTTACCTCGTAAATGGCCAGTCCTTGACTCGCTTCTTGTGGGAAGAGACCAGAATGATGACAGCCGTAGCAGTTGCCACGAAGATGACCACGAGTCCCGCAAAGCCAATCCATGGAAACTGGTTTTTGAAGCCAGGTCTCCAGTCGATGCCGTCGATATCTGGATCATGTCCGGCATGGTCAAACTTTTCGTTGTAATCCCGCCTCGGTACGTATGGCTCTCTGCTCGACTTCTCAACATCACTGGAATGTGTTCTGCATTCCTCAGTAACAGCGTCAATGTTGAATATGAAGTCTTCTCTCGGTGAGCCTGGAGCGGTTTTCCAGCTATTTCGATCAGTCCCAGGAGAATTGGGAGCGAAATTCGGGGAGTGCCAGGCCGGACGGATTTCGTTGTCCATGACAGCAGTCTGGCGCGGAATCGAAAGATTCCCAGATGGTGAAAGGGACAAGATGTAGTAACAGATGCATCTAGAAAGCACGGTAAGTAAGTAACAGGCAAACCTCGTGCAACAAAGGAAGCAGCAAACAAATTCGCATCGCGTGTTCTCAAATCCGTTATACATATAGATCAAGGTGGCACAGCATGCGAAGCGAGCTGACCCAGTTGCGATGGTTATAAACCGAGAAAGGATTGGCTTCGTTTATTCCGACATATCCATGGAAAGAGTGACCGCATCGCAATACTGTAAACGTTCAAAAAGCTAATATGTCGTTTGTCGCGTTGTGATTAAGCGACGTGATTCGAAGTCGTGGTATCTGTATAATCGGGTACAAGCATGGTGATTCCGCGCGTCAGTTGTACCAATAGCGGAAGTTCCTCTTCAGTCCTGCATTTGTTCGTCGTCTTGCTCCTGCTCCTCTTTGAGATTATCCTTTCCATCTTCTTCCTCCGGAGGCATAGAAACAGGGAACGAAAGATGCTTCCAGTCCTCGATCTGCAAAGTGTTAACATGACAGGCACAGTGGAAGAAAGGTAATGCCTACTTCTTCAGTGATGCTCTTCAGTCTGTCGCGAATACTTTCCACGGCGTAGCTACCCAGAATCAAGCGCAACGGAGGATAGCTGCAATGACCCAGTTGCCACACCAACTCTGCGCTCTTCACAGCGCTCACCGGTTGTCTGTCGTTCAGCCACTGTACCATCCGTCGCGCGTGTTGCGCGGGGCTTGTCAGTCCCGAGTAGGGCTCGCTGGGGTTCGGTTTCACGAAGAAATGACCGTAACGTTTCGGCTTCGGAGGACCTGTTCCTGGAACGGGTATCGAAGTATAGCTGGGTGGTAATATGTTGTCATCTGGCTCGTCCAATCGAACATGTCCAGGCTCGACCAGTGTTGCTTTGATGTTGAATATATCGACTTCGTACAACATCGACTCTATGAGCCCTTCCACGGCGTACTTGGTCGCACAGTACGGGCCGAGGCCAGGCACGCCAAGGGCTCCAGCCGTGGATGAGAATATGAGGTATCGACCGGAGTTTTGTGAGCGAAAGTAGGGGAGTGAGAGTTGCAAGATGTGTAGGGTTCCGAGAAAGTTTGTGGTGAATTGATTGCGCAGATCGTACTCGTCCTGGTCCTCGCATGCTGCTATGACGCCGTAGCCGGTGCTGTTCGCTATGACATCCACCTGGCCCCAGTATTCGATGCTCTTCCTGATGACCTGATCCACTGTCTCGCGTACTCTCACGTCGCATAGTAAACCCAAGCAGTTTCTGTTCTTCCACTTATCCATCTGTTCAGGTGTGTTCTCTTCGGTCCATCCCACCGCGGTGCATTGGTCGCCGTGCGCTAGTATCGCCCGAACGAGGGATCGTCCCATGTGACCGGTCGCTCCGAAGACCTATAGGAAGATGTTAGCTATCGAGATCAAGGCAACATGCTTGATGACCTACTATCCATACTGCTCGCTTGGGCGGATTGTGCTCAGATGGTGGGTCGCAAGTTGCTGGAAGGATGAGATTGGGGTTGTGAGTTGCAGCGCCTGGCGAGAGGCTCTGACTTTGGGTATCGAAATCCATAAGGAGGGTGAAGATGCTACAATGGTATGCGATCTTGAACTGGTCCAGAGGTGGGGAGCTTGGCAACCAATCGGACTTGCAACTGCCGCTATCTCCGTCTGGTTCAGGTGAAGGGGCAACGAAGCCACGTCGCGCACTTGATATGTGTACACGAGTAATCCAGGGTATTCCCGTATCGCGTCGGAAGTGAGGTTTGGTAGGACTAGCACTCAAGGCATGATGAACCTCCTCTCGTCGATCAGAAAGTGGAGTCCCTCGATGACCAATTGGCTGGGAAAGGCCTGTTGCCGGTTCATGAAGTTGCTGACGAGAATGAAGAACATGATGAAGATGTCGAGGTGCATAGGCGACGTGAGGAAGAAGTGGTACGCGAGGAACAGGAAAGCCTGGGCGCGGTATCTGCTCTTGATGGATCGGATGACTCTGTTCGCCTTGATGGCAGCGGCGCGGTTGGTGGGGGTCCTGAAGGTGACGACCTTGGAGAGAAGGGGCATCCTAGGTAGAGTCGTGCCTCGTCGCGGGTCTGAGTCTGGGGAGACCTCGGGGCTGCGGAGATGGGCGTGGAGTGATCAGGAGGCTTATCGATATGGCTAGGTCGGCATCCTTCCAAGGTCCCGATGCACAATTACGTCTGTCTGCCTCTGCTCGAAATCACCATCCACACCCAACATGCAATTGTCAACGCGGTAGCAACTCTCCACTCGCGACTATGGTCAAAGCAGTGCCCACACCCGTGGCGCTGCCCGTCACACAGGGCGGCTCGTCATCGTACAGTTGCCCATCAATTGCAGAGACCCCGCTAACTTACTGCAGACTCTCCTTCACACAAGGCTTCCTACTCGGCCAGCTCTCGATTGCGATTTTGATGTTCTGCTTCATAAAGTTCTTCATCTTCGGAGAGCCACCGTCCGCCGACGACCGCGCCTTGCATCTCAATTCCCTTCGCCGAGCTCGAACCTTGGCCCACCAACAGTCGTACAAACAATTGAGAACGCGCGCAAACTCAACGTCTCTCTCCTTACGGCATAAACCATCGAGAAGTATAATACGAAAAGGCGAGGAGAGCAGGGGAGGCCCAAGCATACAGACTATCCTCGCAAAGACGTATTACAACGTAAAGGGACACCAACCGGAGAGCTTAGACTGGTTCAATGTGCTCATTGCGCAAACAATCGCACAGCTGAGAGCCGATGCACGCCAGGACGATGCAATCCTTACTTCGCTCACCGACATTTTGAACACGGGCAGCAAGCCGGACTGGATTGGCGAGATCAGGGTGACGGAGATAGCATTGGGTGATGAGTTCCCCATCTTCAGCAACTGCCGAGTCATGCCAGCAGAAGACGGATTCTGGTACGGGCCAGGCAATACAGATGAGAAGGAGAGACTGCAAGCGCGCATGGATGTTGATCTGAGCGATGTCATTACCATCGGCGTAGAGACGACACTGAACCTGAACTGGCCGAAACCCATGTCCGCAGTCTTGCCAGTCGCACTCGCTGTGAGCATTGTCCGATTCTCAGGAACCCTCGCCGTGTCCTTCATACCCTCCTCCTCGCCTCCACCAACCACCGCGCCCATGCCATCGCCAACATCAAACACACACCGAGGTTCCTCGCCGAGTCGTCCAGCATCCTCATCAGGCGCCCCACCACACCGTCCCACCACTCTAGCTTTCACTTTCCTAGACGACTACCGCCTCGACCTCTCCGTGCGTTCTCTAGTCGGTTCGCGATCACGACTCCAAGATGTACCCAAGATCGCCCAGCTCATCGAATCCCGCGTCCACGCCTGGTTCGACGAACGAGCCGTAGAACCCCGCTTCCAGCAAATCGTGCTCCCCTCACTCTGGCCCCGCAAACACAACACAAGAGGCGGAGCCACCGAAGACGCCGACGCAGCCGCCGGCGAGAACGAAGAGGATGAGGACGACGAAATCGCCGTCATGGAAGGAAACGGCACAGCTCCTGGGTCAACATCCTTCATCCCCAGCCCCATCGCCGAAAACGCCACCCTAGAAGAGCGCATAGAAGCAGAAGGCCAGAAAATGCGAGAGGCGGAGATCAGAGCTGGGGTTAGGAAACCCAGTGCAACAGACTCTCGTAGCCAGAGTAGGAATACCCGGGAAGACGGCATGCGGTGGCGCGGCGAGCAGAGAGACCGGCCCAAGGGGTCGGGTAGACCCAAACTGCAGAGTCGAACTACGACGGGCATTGCGGGAGCCATACCGGGCGCTTTACCGAGGTGAAGCGTGAAGTGGATGTATGTGTATGATGACATGACTGAATGTATATAATACCTGTAGCGGCGGCGGCGGCGGTGTTGTGGAGCGAAAGCATACGTCTTGCTTTCGGTGCATCAGGTCCATATTTACTCGACGGAGTACGAAACCCAATGTACCTAGAGCAAGACGTATGCCCAGGTACATTGACAGTATCGTGAGCTTCGTATCTAGCGAAGCTCACGATACTGTCAATGTACCTGGTTCACGGGACGCATCACAACACAATCGCACAGCTGCTCATAATGACAACAAAAGTTGCATCCATTGAACTTCTCCTCCCACATACCCCTCAGTGCACACCGAGTATCTGTATCCCAGCCACCTAGGCTATCATCCCTTTGTGTAGAAGTGCCATTGTCTATCACTCATGAGCAATACCCGATAAAACTGTAGACATCCCAGCCCAAACTTTACCTAACACAACGCTAATCCGACCGACAATACCTCCATCCCAGCTCCTTCGGGCCAGGGAGAGAGAAAGGGAAAACGCCATGGGTATCTGTCTTTCTCTAGCTATGACAGGGACAGGACAAGAAAAGAAAAAGGTTGGTAAAATTGTATCAAGGACAGCCGCACATGGGATTTCGAGGATGATGTGTAGCATGCATGAGAAAACGGCTTGATTAGGTGCGCAGGCAGATCTATTGCCAGCTGGCGGTCGGAGCAGGTGTAGGATGTTGCGGTGGTGGAGGTGCTTCATAAGCATTGGTGGGGACGTCGACGGGAGTCTGGTGTTTTGGTGCCTCTTCGGGGGCGCTGTACGGCGGTGTTGGGGCGGAGAAGAAACCGTCGAGTTTGGGTAGCGCTTCTGGGTTGCCTGTTGGAAGCTGTTGGTGTGCGACGGGCATGACGGGTTGGGAGATCCCGTTCATGGTGGAACTGGGCTCGGATGTGGGGGCTGAGGGTTCTGGAGCAGGCGCAATCTCGGGCTGTTTGGGCGCGCCTGGGTCGCCTAGAGTCGCAGCAGTAGCATCGTGGTCGACGCCATTTGCCATGGGTGCGTCTTGGTCGGGAGCAGCAGAGCCATCCGTTGCGCCTTTCCGGTAACGCAGAGTGACCATGAGGCTGTGTGGTTCCTCCTCTTCATCTGACGAATCCTCCGCCGCATCGTCTTCATCATCGTCGAGCTCCATCTGATCTGGCTCTTCCTCGTCATCATCTCCACCGTCCCAAGATGTCGCATCCTCCTCGTCTTCGGAATCTACTGTCCGGTTCAGTGAGCGGCCGTTGGCGGTACCCCTGTTGGCGGCGCGGGTTGATCGGCCAGGGCCAGACTGTGGCTCCTCCGACACATCAGACCGTACGTAATCGCCAGTTGCAGGCGATGGGTGATCGGTGGCTTGTCCACTGAGTAGTGTCTCACCGTATAAACCTGTTGCTCGAGACCGGACCTGTCGGCCGCTGGCGGTGACAGTAGGACCAGAAGGCGCAGCGGGTGTGTCGCGGCCTGACTGCCGCCCTGACCGACGTACAGATGTATTGTCCGAGTCGAAGTCGTCCTCTTCGTCAAACGTATATCGTTGGCGCTTGCCACGGGTGCGGCCTTCGTATAGGGAGAAACCGAGTTCTGGGCGCGTGAAAGCGTCTTTGCGCTGACGGGTGTACTCTCGTCGCTTGCGTTTCTGCATGGTTATTAGCACAAGGCGATGTATAGAAGGAACGAGGACATACGTTTTCTGAAGCCTCGAATCGTGGCACAGCGTTGAGCATGCGCTCGCCGAGTGCCTTGGCCTCTTTGTGTCCGTCTACTTCCTCCAGCTTCGTTGCAAGCGCTCTTAGCTCATCGATTGAGCCAGCGACACTGATCCACTGTACGTTCTTGAGTTTGGGATCGCTCTCGCGGTAGATGCGAAAGTGGGTGTCATTCTGCCCTTCGACCAGGTAGTACCGGCGCTTGTCACCATCGCGACCCCACGCTTGTACCGACAACGGGATGTTTGTATCTTGTTTGTCCTTGGTAGTGCGAGACTTGTATGCGGTATTGATCATGACTTTGACTTGCTCGTTTTGGTTGAGGCTCCAGAGGCAGAGAGAGTGGAGGAGGGTGATCTGGGCGACAGTTAGCATCTGGCGATTTCAGGATAGACGGCGACTTACCCGTTCTTCTGCTGTCATTGTATTGAAGTTGCGACCGCCACTGAGGGGGTTGCCAGTCCATTTGGTGGGCCATTGTGATTTTTGGGTTTGGATGGCCTCTTCGAGGGCGCGACCGTAGTGACCCTTCCTGTAGAACACACAACTTGTCAGCGCGTGCACTGTGCCATCCGCTCTATAAGGCCTATGCGACCGAAGAATATGTCTTTGTGAAGCGCAAAGGGGTCAGACTGACTCGACAGGTTTCTTGCGATTGAGGACGAGCCCGAGCAGGGCGCATAGTAAGCCTTCGACGTCGGCGGACGGCGTCTCCTCCGCAACACCCTGCTCGATGTCTTGAGGCCCTACGTGAGGCGAACCGCGAGGAAAGGCTTCGTTGAAGCGCGACCGAAACATTACAATGAACTATAGCGCATGGCATTAGCGATGTCTGGGTGGAGGATTTATGCGCGATTGCGGTGCAATGCGGCGCGTCACGACGCGACGGACGCGTCCAACACGTACAGCAATGTCTGGATTATCCTCTGGCACAGCCTCATGCGGTGGAGAAGGCGCTCGTTTCCTTGGAGGCGGCGAGGGCGAGCGATGCTTGAAAAAGGTCAAGATTGTGCCATTCTTCTTCTTCTTCTTTTTCTGAGGTACGGCCTTTGCAGCGCTTGCTTCTGAAACCTCGACCTCCATCTCGTCGTCGGTCGGGGGCGCAGAGGACAGCGAAGAATCGGAATCGGCCATGGTTGGTGGTGTTTGGGGGTTGATGTTGGTGGTGGTAGTTGCGGCTGCAGTTGCGGGACGAGGAGAGGAACTACGAACAGAGCACGGTTAGGCAGGCATGAGGTAATGCTACTTTCGCTAGCCCAAAGATCGACTGATTGGGTCCCTGTAATGCAGGACAATGAACACGTTCATCAGGGCATCTTTGTTTGACAAAACAAGCGCGAAAAGGTAGCAATATCGGAGCAGCGATGGAATCAGGGCAACTTCTGTAGTCTGGGAGTTTGATTCAGCTATATACGTGATGTTCGCGAAGTGCTACAACGATATCTCAATTCGCATATAGTGAGACCACGGCTAAGGTAGCTATCAAGCGTGCCGTCTCTTCACCACAGCTCCCACCAGAACCTCCTGCTCACAAGTCTGATCGTACGGCCGCATCTCCCCCAACTCGTAATGCTGTCGTCAAGAAAGTCAGCGGCTTATAAATATCCTACCATTATTTTTTGATGCTCTGTTCCGGGCCCAAAAGGGGGTCGAGGGCATTTGTCTAAGACATGATTCGAGACGCGCAGTCACAATTCGAGGTGCAAGTGTACCGGCGAGATTGAGCCGTGTCAGGGTTTCGTTGCTTGAATGCGCTCCACTGCGCAATGTCGGTTTTCAGGTTTAGGGCGGTTGTGCTGATGTGGCCGGTAGGTCCCTTTGAAAGCGCTGATCGGGCGGGGGAACGCTCGACAAGTGGACATGCCAAAGTCGCGACCAAAGCGCGAGACCTTCCACAGATGCCCTGGTGTTGCTCAAAAGCATAGGTCAGCCTCTGCCCATTCGGTCCTCCTCTTGACTTGTATAGGCGTCACAACAGATGTCAAGTAGATGAAAGGAAGGCGACACCGGGTAATATACTCATAAGAACACTAGGAGTTTCTTCGAGTTCGCAAGCGTTACGTGTTGGCTGCAGGCGCGCCCATGCCCAGGTGTGCGTCGCGCTTTTAGTCGCAACTTCGGGCTAGTCCGCCCAGTCCTGAAGTTGCAGCGCATGTCTGTCCGCTCCTTATGGTAAACGTCCTCACGGCACCTTCTCTAGCAACGGAACCATTGCGCGATGATGTAGCGCGTTCAGAAATGAAACATATTTGTTCGTATGATTTGGGACGGACGGGACTTTTCGAAATAAAGAAACCTAGTTTGGGTAAACAATGCGCCGAAAGAAGTCGACTGCGCGGAATACAAGCGAATGCGAGAGCGCAGTTGAAGTGGTGTTGCCTTGGCTGAGGAGAGACGCGAACTTGAGGTTGAAGTTCCAGCTGGCCGAAGAGACGGCGCTTGTCAGGTCACGTGCACGCGATTTGGATGGCGGGGCGAGCTGGAAGGTAATCGGCTCGAGGCATTCGAGGCAGATTAGGACATGTTGTGTCGATTTGCTGTCAGTCTTTGTTGATGTCGTGAGTAATGAATACAATACGAGAAATGTTTTTTGACATGAACAAACGCTCAGCGTGATGAGCGGATGCTCGCAGTGCAGTCGTGTGAGATGGCGAGCACATTGACTGCATATGCCAAGGTAGCTTACACTGTAGAAGGATTGCTTTCCAGCTATATCGCGTTGCTTTCAGAGGCCAGGTGATATATCGCGCTTGCCGAAAAGACCGCTTGACCTGATAAAGGAAGGAGATTGGGTTCGCGTCCTTTATGGCTGCATATTGAAGAGTCTGGACGGCGCACTAGACAGCCAACATGCGCTTCTGTAGGTCTATCGAATCCCCATTGCTGCGCGATAGGAGAGGATCCGAACAGGAGCCTACTGCTGATTCCGGTGATTTGCTCGGTGAAGTCGGGCAGAGAATGGAGAGTAGCTAAGAAAGACGCTTCCTTGGTACGGTGGCGAGGGTGAAACTCAGCATCCATGAGACGGAGCGTGATTGCGCAAACCATGACGGAGGCTGCCAGGAATAGAACGAGCACAATGTATGGCAAGACGGGTGAAACGGGGGGCATGCCTACAAAAGGCGATAGTGGAGGGGTTGGCTGTGGTGAGTAGATGGGGCGGCGGCGGAAGCATTAGGGCGGCAAACCCCGGAATAGCGACATGTCGTCCCGCTGTGTCAGGACTGGCTGGGCCGCGTCTTTGGGCGACGCTGATCGCCGTTGGAGGGCACCTAGACGGTCTGTGGTTTCTGGAATAATGGGTCAGGGTCGCGCCTGCTTAGCCTGCTGCTGTATATTGACACGCGTTGGCTCTCAACTTTTGCCGTAGGACGCCCGCCATTGCGAACTCTCCCTCCTGACTTGTACTGTCTCGCGGCATCCATTCCTCTTTCCATCATTCATCTTTTCCTTACTTTGCACCACTTGGTCTCTGTCGCCGGGTGTTGATCGTCCCGCGCCTGCCTCCCTGGTGGTATCGATAGCTGTACCCTGCACACGGCCCATATCTTGTTACGCACGCCGCAGCCCCCTCGTCATTCTGCTGCTTGCACACTTCCCTACGACACCCACACACACCGCACCGCAATCATGAACATCAACAAGAAATTCGACCGCCTGAAGCAATGGACCAACGAGAAGATGGGCGCAGAGGCCCGCACTGGTCTCTCCGACGAGTTCAAGGCGCTCGAAGTGGAAATGAACCTGCGTCATGAGGGTATGCACGAATCCGCGCCCTGCAGCAGCTCCAGCCTCGCATACTGACACTTTTCCAGGCATGGACAAGATGCACGGCGCAATGGCTGTCTACGTCAAGTCGCTCTCCAAGCGCGCAGAGGGCGCCGACAAGGAGAAGCAGCTACCAGGTGGCCATCTGGGTTCCTCGATGGTGACCCACGGCGAGGACTTTGAGCCCGACTCGGAGTTTGGCAATTGCCTGTCTTGTGCGTTTCCACGCCAATCGCACCTGTCTGCGTACTAACTATCAGCAGCACTGGGTCGAGCAAACGAACGTCTGGCGCGAGTACAGGAGACGTATGTCCAAGGGGCTACGTCATCATGGCTCGAGGGTCTTGAACGCTCCTTGATTCAGATGAAGGAGTACCAGGTACGGCGGCATCAGAACAATTGCGGCCATGGAAGCTAATTCGTCTCAGTCTACCCGCAAGAAGCTCGAGACACGCCGTCTGGCCTACGACACCTCCCTCGCCAAGATGCAGAAGACGAAGAAGGAAGACTTCCGCATGGAGGAGGAACTACGTGCCCAAAAGGCCAAATACGAGGAGACCAGCGAAGAGGTCTTCCGGAGGATGCAGGACATCAAGGAGTCCGAAGTCGACATGGTCCAGGACCTGACTGCTTTCCTCGAGGCAGAACTGAGCTACTACGACCGCTGTCGTGAGATTCTGCTCAACGTAAAGCGGGAATGGCCGGCTAGGTGAGGACATTCCGATCAGCATAAGACCTAGCACATTTCTGACACATGACACAGGGACACCAGGGCTATGCCTAGCCGCCCCGCGCGCTCCCGATCCAATACCGCACACGGCTACGCAGAGCGCTTCAACCCAGTCGAAGAAGAGCCCGAGCCTGAGCCCGCTCGCATGACCATTCCTAAGCTTTCGTCCCAGCGAAGCCGCTCCCCTGGCCCCGAGCAGTCGCCCGGTGGCTACTCCCTACGCCCCTCTCTTAGCCGCACTTCGACTTACGAAAACAACAATGGCTACCGAGACGACTCCCCTGCCCGCCGACTGTCCCGCGTCCCCACTGATTCCTCCGTCATATCTTCCGGCCGAACAAATCTCCGTCCAGTCCGACAAGCTAGCGCCAGCCAACAGAACACGTTTGCTGACGACTACGAAGACGATTATGCGCCATCCAACGGAAACGGATATAGACGTGACCGTGATCGATCGCCACCTAGCCCCGATACCTCGTCATCTGTTGGCAGTGGGCGCGGCGGCGTCATGTCGCGAGCAGCGAGTTGGTCGCAGGCGGGTGAGCAGGCAACTAACGGCGGCAAGAAGGCACCTCCGCCACCACCTCCATCGAGGGCGAAGAAGCCACCGCCACCTCCGCCGCCAATGAAGCGAAGTGCGTTGAGTGAATCTCAAGTAGCACGCTACTAGCCCTTGCGATATTCCTCTTGTCTTTCTCTTTGGCTAACAAGTTTGTCGTAGAGCTCATGTCTTCCACTGTCAGGAACACCAGCTGGTGATGCCAACATTTGACGTATCGACATGCTGTTCACGACTCGCTTGGCGGAAAATCAGGTCTGCATTCTCGACTGCAGTGCGGTCAGGCGTATATGGCGTTACATTGGAGGGAACATCAAGCACCAGTGTCGTGGCGTTTTGGAGCTGGGTGGAACTTATCACAGCGTCTACGTGTCGAGCTTCAGACGCAAGTTCAGTTGTAGCAACGATGCTAGGTCTCAACCTCAATACATCTCTTAAGCAATCAATGAGGCGAAGTGAATGTGCATGTGTACAGTCAATGAACATCCCCAGGATGAGCGAGACCGATTCGACCAGAAACATTCGTGAACTTGAGATGAACTCGTGTCTATTTCAATCAACAGACTAAGCAGATATATACTACTCGCGTTATCCGAACACGAGCATGTTCCGTAAACACCACACTGCACCTAACCAATTAATGCTCGTACTTCTGCTGTTGAGGCGGGAAATTCCAGTTCTCCTAGACAAATATTAGCACAATTCCCTCACATCTGACCAACCATAACAAAATTGAAAGAATGACTTACCCACTGCTGCAACCCCCCATTCGGACTCGTAGTCCCAAACTCAGCATGATGCCCCGTATCCACCGGCACAAAAATAGCACCCGTATCCTGACCCGCACCAGCGCTCATGCCACCCCAGACATCGTAATCCTCCGCCGACCCAGCACCAGCCCCACCGCCGCCGCCGCCGCCTCCACCATTCAAGCTCCCGAGTATACTATCGAAATCCACATTCAAGCCATCCAGCGTGCCGGACGTAGGCGTCCTCTGCAAATGGCCATGCATATTACCCGGCGTCTGCTGCGCGCCAAACGCAGGACTCGTTACGGAGCCGCCGAAGGAGGGTAAGGGTTGGAGAGTGGGATGTTGCTGGGGAGCGATTTGTTGGCGCTTTTTGTTGAAGCCTTTCATTACGTAGAAGGCTTCTAGGTTTTCTTTGACGGTGAAGAGGAGGTCGGAGCAGCGTTCTCGGACGCCGACGCCGTAGCAGTGTCCGAAGATGTGGTCGATTATTGTGGCCATGCGCTCTTTTCGCGGGAGGTCGGGCGTGCGGTAGAGTTCGGTGAGGAGGAGGAGGACGGCGTGGTATTGTTGGTAGGTCGTGGAGTACCAGGCCCATGCTGAGAGCGAGGGCAGTGTGTCTAGTGTTGCGCCGATTTCGAGCGTCGTGAGAGCTGCTGTGAGGAGCACGTCGCGGAGGCGGTTCTCGGATTCTGAGCGTGGTTGCAGGGAGGTTTGGGGGAGGTGCCGGTAGAGGAGCATGGAGTCGCAGCGAGACATTAGGAGAGTTGCTACGAGGCCTGCATAACGTTGGATGGGAACATTGGCGTCCAGGTACTGCAGGTATTTGCTTTGGATTTGACGTTTCTTGGCCTCTACGCGGGCGCGCAGGTCGTGGAGCGTGATGTGCTTACGGTCCATCTCGATTCTGCCGCGAAAGATGAGACGGTGGATTTCGTTGCATTCGTAGCGTATTAGCGATAAAGTGACGTCTGACCAGCCGGTGGTGGAGGCTGGGTGTTGCTGCCATTTTGCACTGCCAAACTCGAAGACGTCGTCATCTACATTCAACGGGAGCGCAATGTCGAAATCGTCCGATCGAATGGATGGATGGGGCCCTTGCGCTTCGGCTGTCTTGAAGTCTAAGAAGCAGATTTGGTACCACAAGAGCGATCGAACGTGTCGCTGTAGAGGTGTTAGGCTGTTGGCTGAGCTGTGGCTCATGCGATGTATGCCTATACATTGTGCCAGGCGAACCAGAGCACCAACTACGACAGACGTCGCTCGAGAGATCTGCGCTCGACAAAGGGGTATCTGCGTGCGTTAGTATGTGTAAGTTCTGTAAAGACTATAAGGAAAAGTACCAGGTATATAGTCAAAGCTTGCAAAGTCCGTATATTGGACGTCTTCGCCCAATTAGCACGAAGCAATGCTCGCTCCGTAGCTTTCTGTAAGCGCAAGAAAAGGTCCTCTTTCGTGATGCCAAACTGCGACTTGGCTTGCAGAGGCGATACAGACGCCGCAGCAGCCATGCACACGGCCAAAATCAAGGCAGTACATGAATTTTGGTTGGGATTCCCAATCTCAAGATTCATCCAGAAGCGGTCAAACATGCGCTTGAACGACGGAAGATGCAACACGTGCGCAAGAGGGCTGACAGCTTCTGTGTATCGCTGTAGTAGTCCCTCTGCTTCCATCTTAGTCGGCAGCTGCGGTGCTTCCACATCGTTGTTTTGATGTAGAGGCAGCGAGCCACCTAGCAGCAGGTTCAGCGATGGTGCAAGCGACGGCATCTGTTCTGCGGACAGCAGAGCAGACGACTGTGTCGCTCTCTGGCCCGTGACTGATGACGACGGGGTGAAGCTCTCAGACAGAAGCTTGCCGAGCTACACAACAATTCAGTCTGCGGTCATGGGAAGGCAACGTGAACGCGGGACAAAAGATGAGGACAGGGCAAAAAGTACCTCTTCGGCGTATTGGGGGCGGAAAAATCCGGTGACATTCTCACAAATGATCATCCTCCCGATTCGAATCGTGAGATCCGTCGCAATCTGATCTTCATCGTCATTCTCGTCCTCGTACACATCGTCCTGCGTCTCCTCAGGCTCTGCGGGCAGTCTCTCCCAGGCATCCGTTTCGGGCTCGACATCCTGCTGGTAGGCTTCCCATTCATAGTCTCGCGGAGGCGTGCCAGGCGTGGTGGTGTCGACGGAGTTCGCATTCTCGTACCCATCATGCACACTGGCACTACTCTGCGTGCGCACGGGGAGGTTCTTGGTCCAGTCCGGGATGGTGACACCAGCGCCGCTCTTACTCTGCGCGCGCTCTCTCTGCTCCCTCTCTTTCTTGCGCGCAGCGCTCTCAGGGACGGTGATGAAGACGCACTCGCGCCCGAAGGCTGTGCAGTTCTGGCAAGGGTGCGTCTTGGAGCATCGCGACTTCCGGGTGCGGCATTCAACGCAGCTGTTGATGGGGCGTGGATTTCTCCGGCGGACCACTCGAGACTGCAAGACCTGTCCTTGTTCTGGCATGTCTCGCAATCCTCATTTTCGCGCCATGTGTGGGTGAGGTTTGAAGGTGGCTGAGGTGGTGGAGTGAGCGATCGGATGTCGGCCCGTAAGGGAACCCCGATGACTTTAACACCTGTTGGTGATGATGCACGTGTTCAGCCTTGTCGCATCGTCTTGGCTCTGAGCAGGTTAGCAGACTTTTCGCCGCCTTCGGAGTCATGCAGGTACCGCCCAACAATTGATTGCTGATTGCGACCTATAGGCCGCGCTGCTGTTCAGGGCCGGCTTGAAACGAATGATGTGGGCCTTGGTGGGATGCATCTCGACCCTTAGCGCGGGGCATGCACTGTGCTGCACTCATTGCGGGCTGTGCTGACGAACACTATTGAGATGATTGTGGTATTATGAGGCAACTCTATCAACCCGTGTAATATGAACCTGCATTTGATGCCACTTGCTTCGACGCCCAACTCCCAAAGCATTGCCTCGCTCTCGCAAGACGATATCGACTATCTACCTACTTCTCTCTTCAGGCGAGCCGCAGCTGATGTAGCGGGAGGCTCGGGCCACGAGTCAACGGCATCTTCTACTTCCTCCAAGAAGGAAGTGCTGTTATGCACAGTGGTGCCGCCGAGCGCGACTCGAATACCTGGGGAACTAGCATTGACTTGCGCAACCATCTTAGCTTCCTCGTATGTTGCGCCGCCGACCATGAAGACAATGATGTCCTGCGGCTTGTCCTTTGTCGATCCGCCACCCTCGACGAAGGGGTACAGCTGCTGGCTTAAGCGACCCTTGATCATGTCCTGCAACGTAGCCTCCAAGCGAGGCGAGTGCTGTGTGTAGACGTTCTCAACACCCTTCAAGCCCTTGAGTCGATCTCGGGCACCTCCGAAGAAAGACCCAGGTTGGAAAAGATCCGGCACTCCACCTGCCGCCGTAGTCGCTTGCAGCGAGTCATGGTAGGTCAATAGCTTTGTGATGAGGTTAATGCGATGCCGTGACAGTCCACCCGCAACGGCGAGCAAGTCAAGCAGCATAGCTGTGGAGTTTGACGAGGTCTTTGAGTAGCGCAACGCGTAGATGGCAACCAGCCGGAGTTTGTTGTTCGCCGGCACCTTTGGATCTTGAATGATCCTTTGCAGCGATTTGACATCGTTGGAATGGTTGTCTGTACATGCCAGACTCTGCTCGAGCTCACTGATGTCCAGTAGACTCTCCTCGCCAACTCTTCTGCTCAGCTCACCGACAAGTGTGACGTGCTTGGTGACGTTGCCGGAAAGCTTGCGGAACTCCGGAAAGTCCTCGATGAAGCGCTTCATATCGGCAATAGAGTCGAGCTTTTGCGATCCCTGCTGCTTTGACGCAAACTGCTCGACATACTCTTTTGCGTTTTGCCCTAAATCGCCGAAGTTGAGATACATGTTCTTCTTGAAGAAAGGGTCCTGCTCCTGCGATAACACGATCTCCTTGAGCTCAGGACGTATCTCTGGCACATCGCGTAGGTCCACTCGTCCATTGTGTATTCCGAGCAGCTCGTGAACCATAGCCTGATACGTCCATTGCGTCAACAGCGGTGTCACCGGGTCGTCTCTTCGATCGACAATCAAAAGTATAGGCGGGGTGTCTGTTTTGCGGAAGTCGAACAGCTGCTCTTCCTGTGTCATATGGTACCGGACCTCGGTCGCCAGCTTCTTCACAAGCAGACTGTTCTTCTGGTATCGTATCAAGGGCTTCTTCTTCAGCGACAGAAGTAACGCCATGACTGCCTCGGTCGACCTTTGTAGCGCATCCTGGTTCCACGCATCCGGGCTTGTGCTCCATATCCGATGGTCGGGAAATCCAAGGTTGAGGGACATGAGGTCGGGGTTTATGACGAGGAAGTCGGCGAAATATTCCTGAATCGCGCGCACGACTTCATGGTCGTCTGCTTCGGCGAGGCGCTCCAACGAGGACTTTTTGATTATGTTACTGAAGTCTGTCTGTATCAGCACGCGTACGTAGCGCCGTGTTCTTCCAGGCGCGTACAGATGTTGTATTCCCCGTACTTGGGCTCTCGTAGCTCTTCGATAAGGTTCTGGATAGACTCGGGCGACGGTCGCACAAAGCATAGGCAGCGCAGATGGCGCATCTTCTCCCGCTTTGGGTTGTCGAGGCGGCTGCCAATGTGTTAGTTGTGGATTGTATCATGGATCGCGAGGGCGCAATACTCAGTGAGGTAGACTTCATGGTTGAGGAGGGCGGATTGCGTCGTCGCAGTGGATACTATGGGGACCTAAGCAGTATGAGTAACGTGTGTACAGCCACCTGGGAGAGCAGACAAACCCACAGTCTCGTTGTCGAGGAGGAGGATCTTCATCTTGGCCGCGGAGGTGCCTGTCGCAGCGCTGTCCCCGACCGACACCATCTTGGTGATGTAGCCGGAGACGGCCTGTATGATATCCATGGTCGCGAGGATATTAGTCGCAATCTACTGCGAGCTCGAGGTCGTGAATTAAGAGGGTCGTTGTCTCACTCGCTCTTCCATGTCGACGCGGTTGTTCGTTGGTCAAGGCAAGCTAGGAACGTGGCTCAAGCGCGAGAGCTCAGGAACATGACCGCGCCAAGGCGAATACATCCACGACATTTCGGAGCTTATACATCGACTTTCAGTCCCATTGAATCAAACACCCTTCGATAATCTGCCACTACGTTTTACCTTTTCCCGATGTTGTTGGTCGTGTGATCACCCACAGTGGGCAGACATGTGGAGTTCCGCCGCGGGGCAGATGCGGGCAGTACCTGGGCATCGTTCACTCCTATTTCATCGATGACTAGCACGCGCATGTAACCACAATACCAGGACATGCGCACGATACGGATTTCATGAGAGGCTATGCAACCACATGTTTGTTGCTTCATCGCTACAGCGCTCTCGCTACGATAGTAACTGAACCCCGACACACCTCTGCCTTATGTTGTAGGGTGGTCTGGCATACGACTACTTCATGATGCGCCCCTCAGCAGCTTCTTCAGCGTGCTGCCTAATACGACCCATCGCCTTCGCCTCACCATCGATGATCTCTGGTAGCAGATCGAACACGCTCTTCTGCTTGGGAGTCCAGCCGAACAGCTTGTTGGCTCGAATAGCTTTGCAGCGAGAGTTGGTGCCTAACATGTCAGAAAATGTCATATCCGAGAACACAGTGTGACTCACCCCAAAGGTAGCTGCCCATTGGTCTCATCTCTTCTGCCTCCTCTTTGCTCACGTTGTCAACCCCCTCATGGTTGATGAGCTTGTTCTTGAACGCGATCTCCGAGATCTTGCTGCCGATGTCACCCCAGCAGAACTCTCCGCTCTCCGCGAAATAGTATCCTTCCTTGTTCCAAGTCGCTTTGCCACCATCAGGCGACAGAGCGGCTGTTACAAGGGCTAGGAACACCTCGCTGAGATCTTGAACATGAACTTGAGTCCACATGTTCTTGCCGTCACCAACGACGAAAGCCTTCATTCGCTTCAGTGCGGCCTTGCTCATGTCATACACCTGTACACTCTTTTGGTTATCGGGGCCACGTCCAGGTCCGTAGATACAAGGTGGACAGACAATGGCAGATTGGATGTTGCCTGCTGAAACCTCGTTCGATCCAAGGATGATCTTGTCGACATTTCGATGGAGCGCTGAATCAGGCAGCGAAGTGACCTCACCAATGTTGTCCCAGTCGTCATAAACCTTCTCTCGCCTAATGCCGTAGGTGTTGGTCTCAAAGTCCTCGAAAGACAAGACACCAGTGCCAGAGGTGTGAATGAGATAGGTCTTCTTTCCGCTGCGTGTGAGCCCAGCAACCAACGCATTGGCGGAAGCCACGTGGTCGCAGTCGGCGCAATGGAGGACGATGTCTGCGTTGGACGCCTCCGTGGTGAGCAACTCGGTGTCATCAAGGGTGCCGTACACAAGACGGGTCTTTGGGTACTGTGCTGCAACTTTGGCTCCTTTGTCGCTGTTTCGAACAAGTGCCGTGATCTCTAGATCTGGATAGGTGTTTGCAACTGCGTAGAGGGCATCGCCTCCGATGTAGCCAGTAGCGCCGGTGCTGTATCTAGTCAGTATTCAACTTCCTAGAAACGAATGCAATTGCATGTCGTCCATGTTTCATCGATCGGTAGGAGCACGCATCTGAACCTACATGAAGAGCTTCGGCATGATTAGAGTTTCGATGAGATTGTGTTGAGAGGAGATCTGTAGAAGGCAAGAACACAGTCGGTACTGTTGCAGATATATGCAAAATTCGCCAGGCTGCTGTCGCTTTGAAATCGTGTTTGCCTACAGCTCCACCTGGGCACAACTAGCAGGAACGTACGTCACACATATGTACCGGTAGCGCGAACGTCCAATCGGTGACCACAAGGCAGGCTGCATCGCTTACCTACCTAGGTAATTTCTATGAGTCTGCGCATCTCACTGCATTTGCAACATTACACACCCTCTTTCATGCTTCCTAATCATAATGATCGCGACGGTGGACATGGACAGTCCTGTGGTCTAGATCCACATGTCTGGTGAGACGCCCCGCAGTGGTGCACCTTCCCCTACTCCGGAGTAGAGCTTATCCGCTACAAGCACTCGGAGCTTTATGTTCGATGAGATGGTGCAGACAGACTGGACATACCAGAAGTGCACGACAGGGCGTGAGCTTGGTTAATGGATGCAGCTCCGAGGAGCTCATACCACAGCTCCTCACAATTGAGCCTCGGTAAAGAAGAGTCAACTTACGTCATCCACCTAACACTACCAACATCTATACTACTCCTTGTCCGCCGTCTGAGCATCATATTCGCGAAACAGGTAAACATCTGATCTCGTCAATCCCTCTCCAAAATGCCGCTCTGCACGCTCCATCTCGTCGCCCTCCACAGCACCACACCCAACCCAATCTTAACCTTCCTGTCCACCTTAAAGTCCGCCAACATCTCCCCACTCGTCATCTCACGCGTAATCCGCTGGATAATCTTCCCATCGAAGCTCTCAACCGAACACCTCCTCGCCCGAAACATCCACTGGGATCTCCTCCTCATCCTGCCCAGCACCGACGCGCTCCCATCCTCGCTCTCAAACCTAGTCCAACACCACTGGAGCGTAACAGCCGGAGTCCCCTCCCGCCTGATCCAAGACTTTGCGTCGAAGAACCAGAAGCTACTGCATCCAGACCCTAGCTCCGTGCCCAAAGTCCAAGAGCAGAAGAGTAACAAAACCACTGAATCGAGCCAAAGTCTGGAGCTAAGCGATGAGCTGAATAAATGGATCCAGACTTTCGTTGATAGCGGTGCTAAAGAGGGCAAGGGCGCGGTATCCATGTTCAACCTCCTTGCCTTCAACCCAGGGATGAAGGAAGAATACCTGAAATACGGTGCCGCATTCGCCAAATCAATCGGCTCTAAGCACGGTGGCAACGCAAAGATCGTGGGGAACGCAACACACGTTAATGGCTCGGCGATCACCAAGGCATCAGACAGTAGTGTTGGCGCGAATGGCGAGGTGGGCGGCGGGAACGATGACTGGGACGAGATCGCGCTGGCGCATTATCCCAGTATCTTGCACTTTAGGGATATGTTGGCGAGCGAGGATTATCAGGAGGTTAATCACAGGCATCGTGTGCCTAGTTTGAGGGATACGTGTATTCTTATGACGAGTGAGATTGCGGTTGAGGAGTTGCTGGGGCAGGGTAAAGGTGGAGCGAAGCTATAGGACTTGGTGGTGTTGCGCGAACGATCGTATCTGTAGCAGACTCACTCAAATGTGAGGCTAGAGTCAGAACACGAATTCTGGTTTGTGTCCATACTATCTGATCTTGCGACTGCTGAAAAGTGCACAAGGCCGTGTCGCTGTACAGCTTCTCGAAGCTCGTACGAGCTTATCGTGTATCTTACCGATGTTGCTTAACGTGGAGCCAGTGCCGTACTCAGTGTAGCGCCCAAATACTCGCAACCATGACGTCTGATGGCCTCGCATCAGCCCCAGAGGATTCCCAGATCAACGACGCGGCTTGACAAAAAACCCGAATAGACATCGCTGAAAAGAACGCCGCAGCGATCATGCCAGATACTCCAGAGCCTCCTCAAGTATCCACATCAACAAACAACTCCCGAAAAGCCAGCCGTCCAATCCCCTCCCCCGGATGTCCCACCTTCTCCTTCCCACCCCTCCCCCTGCGTTTACCCCATCCCCCTCTCGCACTACCAACATCCGGCAACACCCAATTACTCTTGTCCTGCTCCGCAACCCACTTCTCGCATAACGTCTCCGCCAGCTCGACCTTACGCTTCCAGATGCCTTCGTCTTCGCCTTTCACTTTGAGTAGAGCAGGCGCTATGCTCTTGTCCATGAGCGAGGAATCCATGACTTCGGATGTGAAACGTCGGCGCTGGAGGAGGCATTCTTCAGCACGGTTGTGTCGCTTACAACGTGAGCATGAGGGGTAGGTTCGTGAGCAGGGGAGGCCGGCGAGTGTGCATTGCAGGCAAGAGGTTATCCAGACTGGTCGTGGCTCGTTCGGATCGTGCGGAGAAAGAGTATGTTGAGGGTCAAGATGAGGTACAGCTGTGAGGTCGTCTGTATCCGTTTTTGAGGCTGCTTCATGGAGGTCTAGCCTGGCTGATGGCTTGCTAGGTCGAAGAGCAAAGGCTGGTGGTTCAAGTCGCTCAAGCGGAGGCTCTTTGTCTTGTTGCGGTGCCCAATCACGGCTATCGATACTGGTCGTGTCGGAATCATCGTCTCGTATCTCGAACTTTGGGGTCGGGCTGCCGAACAGATTCCTGCGGAGTGGTTTGTCGAAGATGCTCTGCCCGGAGAAGGACGTATCGGTTGGCGAGATCTCATCTTGCGGTACAGAGCGGTAGTCCGATCGCCGAGGTGGTGTAGTTGGTCCATATTCTGCCTCTCCATCGGTATCAGTGGCGCAATCGCTTTCATCGAGCTCGGCGTTCTTGATATCTAGCTTGTCAAGCCATCCCTCGATGCGATCGGGGTGTTCGACCTCCTTCTCCAGCATCTTCAGAGGAACAGGCATAGCGAAGAAGCCCACGCCGATTGGAGTAGATCCTGAAGAGTTGATGATGGTCAGAGTCAAAGAGTAGTGAAGGTGACGAGGTCGAGAGGATACGGTGATAACGTCTCACGGTGAAGTTGACCACGCTAGTCCGGACGCGTCGAGGAACTGGACCATGGATACCGCATGTTCGTAGAGTGCGGGGTAACGAAAGCAGAGGTGTAATCAGACATCGTATGGCGAGAGGCAGCTTGTAAGTTCATGTCTCGGTTGCGTATTTCGGTGGTCATTGTTCAGTTTAGCGCCGGTCAACTGCTCGAAGCAAACAACCTTTCAGTCCGGACTCTGACCAAGATCCCTCCAGAATAGGTATTCGTAAGTCTTTTGATATACTCAGAACCTATGTAAGATGCTCGAAAGTCGTGGAGTCCTAAGAACAAGAAGCGCCTGTCGCGCATTGTGGTCGCTTGTTCATCTGCGTTTCGAACATCCAGAAGGATGTCATGGTAGATCAAGGGTTGTAACTTCCCTGGTACCCAGGTAGTGTACCGAACGTTTGCGGGTCGATAAACCTGCAGGCCAAAATGCCAAAAGAGTACGCACATGCGTCGGGATCTCTGTGAGTAGGGTCACTTGTAGTACATAGAAAGGCCTACTCTTCGTCGTTGTCAAGTGTGGCCCGTAGATTACGTGCTGTTCCTTCTTCTGAAAAATGCTTGAGCTGCTGCATCCCTCAAAAGAGCGCATCATTTCCGGGTCATCCCACACCAAGGTGACCACAGGCCCGCGCATCCGCGTGCTAATATTAAGCAACGCAAGGCCAGCAGTCTCTGTTGTGCTGCGCAGCTGCTCCCTCAAGGAGTTGATAGCTGCATTCCGTCCGAATCTGTAGCGGTTGCAACTTCGAATGCGTTCTCGATATGCTTACGCGGCATAGGATGGGAAGGTGTATCTGTCGTACACTAGAAGGGAAGGAGCTCTGAGGAACTTCTGGCGGACGTTCACGTCATCGCGACGCGTCTCGGGAATACGAGTCATGCTAGCGTGACGCGTACGATATCCCCGGCGTCAGCCGAACAACCTCAGTTTCTAACATCAACCTTTCAAAGTCTACGCACATCAAGTTGCATCCGTACACCAGGCCAAGTGACCCCAAAACCTAGCGCATCATTCTGATTCAATTGCCTCGTGCGAGCGTTCGGTGAAATGTCATACTCCAAAATGCTTTTCAAGGTTTCGTCTCACATCATCACCTCTCCTGCTTTCAAGCACGTCGTATCAGAAGAATGGCTTTCTCTTTCTCCGGATAAGCTCTCAAACAGTCCGTTCTTTGTTCTATAACGAGACACATTGTGTCGCCAAAATGCGCCGTGGTCGCCAAAATGCGCGGTGGCCACCTCAAGGCGGCTCTTCGAGTGTCTTATTATGTCATGTTCGACAGTGAGACAATTGAAGACAATAGCGACAGTCTTTGAGCCGAGAGTAGCAGTGAGTAGTACTAGAACTATTTAAGCGGGATACAAGCGGGGTGAGTAGGTATTGTTGTCGAGGTGAAGACGTTTCCACTGCCAAGACTCGTCCGTTTGCCCTTCACCTAGGCAACGTCAACAACTCAAAATCTCTTCGCACAAATCCTTTTCCTCTTCTTCAACAGCTTCGTCACTATCCAAAACAGCTACATACCCAGAAACCCACCACACCCACACCTACCAACAAACCCGCTCCCACCACTACCAAGATGGAAGGATATCTCCCTCAAACGCACTACGAGCCGAACGGCTTCCTCAACTTCGCCCTCGATATGGGCCCAGTCATGTTCGTTTTGCTTGCTGGCTTCATAGCGGCAGCATACGGCATGACCTCCAAGTCAAGCCCAGGTAAGTCTCATCACTCATTGGTCTTTGGGTAAATGATCTGACATGACATAGCACCAGAGATCAGCATGAGCAAGACCGGGATCCGGGATCTCGTGAGCAAGGCTGTACGCGACGAAGTCAAGATGCTCGAGATGCGCATGGCGGTGCGTGAGAGCCAGCTGGGAGAGGCCCTCGACATAGCCCACCAGCACGAAGCCCGCATTGCGGCGCTGGAAGACATGGTCGACAGAGGTGCGAGGGAGATGGACGCCCTTCGTGCCTCACTAAACAGTCCCAAATCACCATCCCCCTCCTCATCCTCCTCTCCCTCTCCCACCCCCTCTCTCTCCTTCTTCCTCTCGGTCCCTCCCTCCCCCGCCACTTCCGACACCTTCCCGGCCACACAATGGACCCCGTCTCCGCCGTCCGAGCATAGCTCAAGGGCCCACAGCGACCACCAAGAAAACTCAGATGACGACAGCATCTACGGCGCAGAAGACTACAAGTCCTCGCCGCGAGTCTCATCATCACCAGATCAGGCGCCTGAGGTATCCAGCCCTCAGCTTGATCCGGCGCTGGAAGATGAACTCGCTGAGTTGGGTGGTTGGGGTCTGGACATAGAGGCATCCGAGGACGTCAGTGATGGTAACATCACTGACCAGGACGCTGAAGGCGAGACAGACGATGAGTACGAGGCACCAGCACCGCCTATCCCGAGCGCTGGCAGTGAGTCTTTGGCTGGACGAAGGCCAATCATACCACTGTCGAAGTGCAGGACAAAGGGTGCCAGCACCCCGCGTCTGGGATAGGTGGGAAGGTCTTCAGGTATGTTCTTGCAACCAAACCCAACTTCTCAATTATGCTAATTCACCTTGACAGGCGACAAGACACACGTTCGACACTCCGGGATGAAGTGACGCTGCCACAGATGCAGCGTCATAGTCCCGTCCGTCTACTCCCCGCGCATCAAGAAGCGCCTACAAACGCCGACCCAAAGAACGTCCAGTCCGGTATCAGAATCAATCCGCCGAGCCAAATCGAACAATCTCCGCCTTCTCCCCTCGTCATTCTCCAACCACGCCTCACTGCCGACCTCGCGAACGCCTCCCTCATCCACCATCAATCCTCTCCTCCCTCCATCAGCACCAACAAACTCTGCACAAGGGGGCGTGCCCCTGGTCACGAAATCGAGAATGGTGTCGCGCCATCTGGCAACCACAGGCCCATAATGCGAGGGCAAACGGTCTTCATGCACGCCGCCAAGCAGCGTCGCAATGTCGAAAGTGTGCGTAGCGAAAGCACCTTGCTCCTGAATTGGACCTGGGAAAGGGTTCGGAAGATCGAAGACTTGGAAATAGGTTTCTTTGACCAGATCACCTTCCGCAATGCTCAATGCGGCCGCAAAGAAACCTATGTCGCTCTCAAAAAGGCAGATGCGTTGAAGTGCGTCCGCATCATCAAGAACTCCCTCGATACCGTATATCCTCAGCAATTCGGCACATTGTTCGGGAGACAGAACATCTTTGGCAATCTGCTCGAAGGCTTCAGCGTGGTTCTTGCGACTGTCATCGTTCCTCATCATATTGTAGGAGATGCCGCCGTCATAGGTGGTGGAGCCAACGATTTGAGCTTCGACAGGCCTCGCCCAGTCTTTCCAGTCAGGAGGAGCAACTTTGCCCTTTCTAGCCAGATCCATGGTCGGCCGCTCAAAGGGAAAGAACTCGCTGTTCGTGCATGGCAAACCAACCCATGCCAGGTCTCGAATCTTCGACGCGTCAACGCCAATCACGTCTCTAGCTATTGCTTTTGTGTCCCTCTCACTGCCATCACTTTCTCTTAGACGGATTCCCAACTTCTCAGCATGCTTGAGGAAGTTATTGTGATGCTCGTCGTGGGTCATTGCCGGCATCGTAACTGGCGTCCCCGAGAACATGATCGCGCGCTTGAATAACGGTTTACGCATCGTCTGCACCGAGATACTCTCGCTACCTGCGCTTTGTCCTATGACGGTTACATTATCCACGTCGCCGCCAAAACCCTCAATATTCTCGCGCAGCCATTCGAACGCCGTGTTTTGGTCGTAGAGACCATTGTTCTCCGGTACCATACCTCCAGCATGATCTGAATGCCAGAAGCCTAGCGCACCGAGCCGGTAGTTGATCCCTACGAAGATGATGGGGGATTCACGCTGAATAGCATGGCGCACAAGATTTTCGGGGTTGTAGTATGGTCGATTCGCAGAACCAAGGAAGTACGCACCACCGTGGATGAAGACAAGGACCGGCAACTTCTTAGCAGAACCTATCTTTCCGTCTTCATCGACGCATGAATCCGGCAGATGTATGGAAAGGTTCAAGCAATCTTCCGACTGTTCTTCGTCATCCGGCAGATTGTCGGTTGGCAGTGGGATGTTGGCCGCATCGGACTTGACGCTACCCCACGGCTGGATACTGGACGCTCCTGGCTTTGTCGCATCGAAAACTCCATCATGGTACCGTGTGTTTTCTCCATCAGAAAGCTTGTACGAGAGCTCTGCGCGCGCAAATCTTTGGGCAACCTTTCCGTACGGTAGACCTAATATCTTCACGATCGAGCCTTTTGTTTCCCGGTGGCATCTTATCGCACCGAGCTTCGCATGGTTGAGGATGACGTTGGTCATTTCGTTTGGGCTGTTGTGGGTATGACGTGGAGCAGATGCGTCCAGAGTACGATACGTACATGGCATGCAAGAGTGGTGACGTCAGGAAAGGGTTTCACTAGGCCTACCGCGCAAGTACGACGTACCTAGGGAGTGAGCCCTTCTCAAGACGGTCACATGTCATACTCAACGTGAAAGTGGCTTGATGCGGATATAAACATTTCACGTAACCTGGTCGCTCCTCCCTCAAAGCGGTTAGCGACTCGGCCTCGATGCTGGAGTTCGAAGATACGTGCACGGCAGCCATCCTATACCCACACGACATCAATCGGATATGGACAATCCACGAATTCTGCGGAACCTCAATGGAGTTGAAGCGAATAGCTTGAGCATGTAGCAGATGATTGTTCCTGCGCAAGCGATACCAGAAACCAGTATGGCGGGACCACGCTACCGCACCCATGGTTCCTCCTCTTCGACTGCCCGGCCCGCGAACATGATGAATAATTAATCACGACCCTCTTTTC